GCCAAACCAGTTAGGGCATGTTTTCTTGAAAACAAAAAATTGAAAGCCACTTGACTTGCAGATTTGTTAACCAGGCATAAAGTTCATTCTTTTTCTCAATATGGACACTATTCCAAATTGTTCCTTTGTCTCTTGTGACATTCCAGAGACAACACAGGAAAATTGGAAATGAATGAAGAGTCTGCATCTATTGTAAAGAGAGAGTGGGGAACTGGCAAAAGGGAAGACTGTGGTTACCAGCCACTCCTCAGGTCCATTTTATGACAAAATTGCACATGGAGCTTGAACATATGCAAAGGAGCCTGGCCAGTGGATTCCCTGAACACCTTCATCTCCTGTCAGAGGCGCATCCACACCAGCTGGAAGGTCTCTGTGGCACATTAATTCCAAGACCCTGAAAAACTGCGAGATACTGCCTATAACTTTGTCTTTAACAAAACCTTTCATACTGAGTAGATATTTAATAAAGACGGGACACATTTCACAAAGGAGACAAAAAGCCAGTTCTCAAGTAGATTTTGGTGCCAGCTTCTCTATTCCACATATTTTCTGTGTACCTTATTTTTCCTCAAAATGAATAGAGGTATTGCTTCGTTCCAAAATACAGTGAAAATTGCAAAGATTGTTAGACAATTTGAGACTTTCAGAAGGAATTTCAAAAGCAATGTGCGTTCTCAAATATCCAGCATTTTATCTTACTGTTCCTGTCATAGGGCATGTTAGGGAGGTGGGGGCTGGGGGCGCGGAGAGAAACAGGAAAGAAAACAAAAGGGAGAGTTTAAGAGCGACTTTTAAAGAAGTCTAACTGTTTTTATTTCCTGTTCTCTTGTACCGCTTGCTGCTGGCCATGATGACAGGGAACTTCTTTGAAGTGTCACAATCAGGTGCTGTAGAAAACTGGAAGGAAATATTATCCAAGGTCACAAATGGCCTCTCCTCACTGTCCTTGAAGCTGTTGGAATATTTCATTTACTATATAATTTTTTGTGAAGCTTTCTTTTCTTTTATTAATCATTTTCTAAGAGCAATAACAGTGGCAAAACTACTAATCTTTAGAAATGTTAAGTAATTCAACTATACTTTAAATTTATAATGCAAGAGTGCATAAAGTTACAGGAAAGGCTTAACTAAAGAAATTTAAGTAGCCTAATTTTGTCTGCCTTTACTTTGATTGTCTTATTTTCCTCTTGAATTATTTAAATAATTTACTGTACTCTTTGATTGACAGTGACTGGAAATATAACTCTCTTCTTGATGATATGGGATATATTATATTAATGAGATTTAATCTTTCCCCTTATATAACAGCCCACTTTGTCATGTAAAGAAAAGTTCCCTGCCCTAGCTTGGAGGCTCATTTTGTCCAATGACAAAAAAGCGTTGTGGGTTCAATGCCTGGTCAGGGGACATACCTAGGTTTCCAAACCCTGGTGGGAGCACATATAGGATGCAACTGATTTATGTTTCTTTCTCTTGTCTCTCTCTCAAATAAAAAACTAAAATTAAAAACAGTTCCCCATCACCATGGCCAGCAGCAAGAAGTTTAAGAGAACAGGGAATAAACACAGCTACATTTCTTTAAAGTCATTCTCAGACTCACTCTTCTTTCTCTTCTTTGCTAATTTTTCCCCTTTCTTCTACAAGTAAATAAAAATATGTACAGTACTATTAGAAGTTCACCCATAGTATCTTAGAATATTCCTAGAAGGTAGTGTATGTGTTAAAACAGAGTTGGAGGAAGAAGACCTGAGGTTGATCATGACTTTAAATAAGCCACTTAACTTTATTGAGTTTCTACTTATCTGTGAAACACTTACCATAATTTTCCTCTGAATGATTGCATGTATGTGAAAGACATGTATGAATGCAAATAATATAAATACATATACTCAAAAATACAGTCCTATGAAACTAATTTTCTCTGCTCCATTCTTTAGAGTTTAAATTTTATAAGAAAAAGGCATACAATTTAAAAAATTAAGTCTTATTGATAAAAAATCATTCACAGATCTTATCTGTAAACATATAGTTTATTTATGATTTTAATAATGAAACTAGAAAAAAATCAATTCAATAGAACATACAAATAATTTTATCAACATAGTATTTGCTGAGAAAGAACCCATTTGGTCAAACTATCACAACACTGAATTTCATAATTAAACCCACATGCAGATTGTAGAATTATGTTCAGAATGTTTCAATGAAATGTATTAAATATAAAAATAATCCAATGCAATTTTCATCTAACACATTGTACCAAACACCTTTTTAAGAGAATTAACAAGTTTACAACTTTCTCATAAAGTGCTATGCATTCAAAGTGCTCTGCAGCATTGAGGTTGAGGTCAAGGAAAAAATACTGTAGAGTTCCATTGTAATTCAGCTCAATAATCAATGAAATCAGATATAATGTAGATGAAATTCCCTCAGAGGACGGAGATCTATTATGTGCCATCAGTGACACATCCTCAATAGGGGGTGGAGCTGAAGGACTTCATATACATGTCATCACAACCATAATAAAAATGAGTTTGAAGTTGAATTTGTCACTTTTATAGTGAGTACTCTTTCCTAGAGAAAGAAAAATAGAAAGCGACAGAAAAAGTGATAGACATAAACAAAGAAAAAGTTCACAATATTTCTACAATCCATTTTTTGACTGACACAAAATCCTCAGTTCAATCAATTGTCCACGAAAGCATATTTCCGACATTAGAGCACATCAGAATTACCTAAAAGGCTTATTGAAACCACCCCTTGCTAGACCCCACCCACAGAGTTTCTAATTTAATAGGAATAACATGAGGACAGGAATTAGTATTTGGGTTAGTTCCAAATGATGCTGATATCTTGATCACATTTTGAGAATCACTGTAGGCAGCCAGCATGGATTACAAAATGATTTAGGGCAGCAGCTCTCAATTCTGACTACATAGTTGAATCAACCAGATTAAAACAAAACAAAACAAAACAAAACAAAACAAAACAAACAAAACACACACACACAAAATATTTTTTTTTAAATGATGCCTACACCTATCTAAAGCTAATTAAATCTGAATCTTTGGGGTAGAAGCAGGGGTTGAATCATTCATGCATTCAGGAAAATGTCTCATGAAAGTCTAATTTGTAATCCAGCTGGAAAATCACTGTTTTAGGAAATTTCCTTTTACTTCAGGTGGAGAAGAAAAGATAGCCAGACATATGTGCCCTTTGGGGTATCAGTATATGAACAAAGACATCTTCAAGGAAATAAAAATCTTCAGTAGGCATACTGATACACAGCTATTGCTAGTAATATCAGGGAGTAATTCAGAGAATGACTGTGACTGTTGATTTAAAATGCACTCCAAGGTTAGTTCACAGGTTTGAAATAACAGAATTTGGGAAGGTAAGCAGCACTCTAATTTAATTCAACTTTTTTTTCTAATAAATTATATCAACAGTTGAGAGTCTAGAATGTTGGTATATGTGTCGATGTGCAAGGTTTACCTGCTATAATTATTGTTATTCCTTTTACTCAGCTCAATTATTTACTACTATGATTAAAATTTGAGTAAGCCCACAAAGAAGGCCCCCAAGGACAAAATTTCACAAGCATTTACCAGTTTACCTCAAGAAGCAAAACTACAGAAACACACACAAAAAACAAAGGGCATTCTGAAATAATATTTCCATTTTATATCACCCTTCTGGCATAAAGAGAAGGAATGAATATTTGTAAGTGATTATACATGGCATGGGATCATTTTACAGGTTCGGGGCAATCTTTAGTATTGAGTATACATAGAAGGATCTTTAGAACTCATTTTCACAGATGGAGTCATTAAAGCCCCAAGCCAGTTTTTAAATAAAACTCTCAGGTATGAAACTGAGAGTAATATTTGATCATAAATAAAAAGGAATTACACAAACCCTAGATGTCAGAATTGGGCTTTCAGATGATCTTTGGTAAAAGTCAGGCATTAGAATACTAAGAATTTGACTTGCATATAGACGCCTCAGCTATGTTGAATGTGTGACTTCCTCAGAGTCCTTTATTAGAAATCACTGCCCATAAGAAGGGTGCTTACTGTGCTTCAGACCAGAATGACACACTAGATACCAGCTAAGGTAAGCACAGTTTAGTACTTAATAAAGATAAAATCAAAAGTCATGCCAAGATGCTTGGGTGAATCTTTCTCCATTCTTGAAGTCTTCCAGAAGACATCTTTAAAATATCTTTTAAAAAAACAAACAAACAAATAAAAAAACACACACAAACAATAAAAGAAATAGAACTATGAATATAATCACTCAGGATAGTAGAAACTGGATACTACAGATAAGGAGGCATCAAGGAAATAGCAGGCAAACAAGGAAATGTTAAAAATAATTTTGGTCTTTTGTTACCATCTTTACTATTTTACATATATTTTATATATATATTTCATATTTTAGTATTTTAATTTCTCATATATCTATGGCTCTTAATATTATTTCCTTTTATATATGTATGGCTCTTAATAATATATACATATATATTAAATTTCATAAAGCTGCAGAAATTAAGGAATAGAGCCCATTTAAGGGCAAATAACCAAGGCCATTCCTTTCAACACTAAAAGGGGAATGAATTCTGGAGCAGTTTGCTTTCTTTCCTTCTGTGGTATATCCTTGGGGCACCTTCACCTCTGTATTGCACCTTTGGGGCCCCTGAAGGGAGATAAGAATCTCACTGTTTCAGAAAACTATGCTTGCAAAGGCAAAAGATGTGATTTAGAGTTTCAAAGGGAATAGAGTGGGTCCCTGTGGGTGCTTTGGCGCCTCCTCCATCTTACCCAGCCCAGTCCTGATAGGCTGGGTGCTAAGCAGCACAGAACTAAAACCTGTGTGATGTGTGTATACAAGGACTGGTAAGGGATGAGCCAGCCCAAAAGAGAGGGGACCCAAGGTGGGGTATCTGCTTAATCTTGCAAACAGATCAGGTCTAAACTCACCATCTGCCATGCAGTCTCTTAGGCCTCCTTGCTGTTCAGGGAAACATCTGTGTTTTCACTTTCTCTTTGCTCTGTGTGCTCCTGTTTCTCTTGGATTTCCAAGCAATTGGCTTTTCCAGGGAGTATTACCACATTCTGTAGACTCTCTCTACTCAGCTCTGACTCTGTCTGTTGGGATAATCCCAGGCTGACATCTTCAGCCTTGCCTGACTCCTGTCCCCCACCATGGCTCCCCATCTCTGCTTCCCCTCCTTTTTGTTCTGGCCCTAGCTTAGGGGTCTTCTCTTCCAGGTCTGAAGATTCTCCTAGAGCCCCCACCTCAGCCTCTGATGCCCCAGTCACTGTCACCTCCTCCACTGTTGGCACCTGCTCCCTGCTCAGTGCTATTTCCTCTCCTGCCACCTTCTCTACAGATGCTGTTTTTTCTAGTAACTCATCCACTTTGTGCCAAGTTTTCTCATCAGAAACATCTGAAAAAGGGAAGGCTATATTTGCTTCTGTTTTTCCCTCAGCTATCTTCAAATCTGCCAACACCTCTCTCTTCTCGTCTGCCATTCCTGTCACCACTCCTTCCTGGAGATCTCCGTTAGCCACAATCATTCTTTCTTGTAAGCTTCCAACTCCCTCTTTGTGCCCATTCTTCATCTCTCCTTTCCCCAGAGAGCCCTCTTGATCCACCTCTTCCTCTGGGTTTTCATCCATCACTTCCTCACTTAACTTTTCTGCCATCATGGACTCGCCTTCAAAAATATCTTCTTGGGTTATCGCTGTGGCCCCTACACCTTGTCGCCCTTGAAAAGACCCTTCCCTTTCCCTTCTTTCCAGTCCTGCAAGGCCATCTTGATCTTTGGCTGTTTGCTCCTGGGCATGTCCTTCTGGGTCACTTTCAGGAGCTCCTAACACACTGTCTCCCTCAGGGCCTGGCCCCTCGTCCTGATCTGAGGGAGCCGCCTTCTCACCGTTCTCCCCGCAGAGCAGCTCTGCTCTGCCTTTATGCACTGTGTCTCCAGCTTCTCTTAGTCTTTCCCCTCCTCCATCTTTTCTCCCACTTACTATATTTTCCAATGACTTTTCAAATTCAGGTGCTGCTTCAAGCATGGCCCTCTCTCTCGGTGAATCATCCCCTTGCGGGCCTGTGTCTTCAGTCCATTCAGGACCCTCCACGGGTGCTGCATTCTCAACATCACACTCTGTTTCATCTGGGGGTCCCGGTGTCTCTTCCACAGGTCTTACATCATTCATAATTTCCCCCTCTTCCCCTTTAAACTTTTGCTCTTCTGCTAAAATGTCTTCATCCTGAAGAGCATTTGCCCTTATAACCTCTTCTGTCTCAGATTCAGTTTCACCCAGAGGTGTTGGCCTCTCAGCTTTCCTCCTCTGCCTTGCTGCATCTAATTCTTCTGGTAATCTTTCTTTCCTATCATCTTTCCTATTAGATTCTACCTCAGTCTCAACATCCTTCCTTTTCTCAGCTTTCTCACAAAGTTCTTCGAAGCTTTCCTCAGAAATCCTCATTCGGGTTGTTTCGGTCTTCTCACAAGTGGAGGAGCTCAAAGGTGTTTCGGTTCTCACAACTGTCTTCCTCACTTTGTCTGGTTCCTCACCCCCATATACTGCCTCTTTTGAACCATCCTCTCTCTCACATGCAGAGTCATCCTCAGGTGCCATGCCCGCTAGGTCTATGGATGCTTCCTCTTCACTGTCCTCCATGCCTGGCTGTTCAGAGCCTGCCTCACTCACAGACACCCCTCTCTCAGCCTCTCCCTTCTCTGGTGTCACAGCCAGAAGGGCTGCTACCTCCTGAACACATTCTGAGATCTGAGCTGCAGCCTTATTGATGAACACTGCCTTCCCTGAACTCTGCTCCTCTTCAGAAGCTGCCTTCTCTGTCTCCAGCAATGTCTGCATCAAGGCCTGCTGTTCAGGAGCCTCTTCTTCATTCAGACTTCCAGAGGCTCTTGCTGCTTCTTTTCCCATTTGGTTTAACTCCTCTTCATCCAGCTCTCTAGCCCCTTCTGCCTCTGCCCCACTTGTTATGTCCTGACGGGTCTCCCTTTCCCCAGTAGACAGTGCTACTAGAGCTGGCTGTTCTGCTGTTGGCTTCCACTCCCCCAAGGAAACCTCATTAATCCCTGCTTTACTCCTCAGTATTACACCCCCCTTTTCTTCTAGTGTGTCAGCATCCCTGTGTTGGGGAACCTCATCTTCTTCCATTGCTGCTTCTTTCTCCAGTGTGTACATTTCTGATGCAACTGGCTTGGATTCTCCGTTTGAGGTGAGGGCTGTGCTTTCTTCCACCATTAAAATCCTGTTCGGTACTATAAAATAAGGTTAGAAAACAAGGTGGCTTTAATCAAAGTTCACAGAGAGGAGATATTATATGTAATATCATGTACTATAAGAGGCATTATATATAATATCAATGGACCATTGATATTATATATAAAACATTTCTCTATTCTATGATGATATCAACTATAACATGCATCAAAATGGCTTTTCATGATGAAAAGAAATGCTACCAAATTTAATGGATACATTGATATTAAAGAAAAATTGAGCATCAGAAATGTTGAATACAAACAAAAACTCCATGTCTTAGAATAATAAAATCTCTCTTTCATACACACACACACACACACACACACACACACACACACATACACACACACACTTACCCATACTACTTTCATTTGAAATATTAGGAACTGCAAAAATTATGCAATAAAAAAGTCTTCAAAGGGATTTCTTATTATTTAACAAGAACATATAGTTCTGTTGAAATGATCTACTCAAAATAAAGGTATGTCATGCCACACATCCAAAGCATTTTAATTTTCACACCATAAAACAATACTTTGAAAGGTAAGAGCTTGCTTCTAAATTGGTTAATAGTTTTTATCAATTTAAATTTTTTCTTATAGATAACACTGTACTAGATATTATAAAATAAGTTATACTAGGGTGTCAACCTCCAAATTATGTCAATCTATAAAAAGGCAAATGTGTCTTCCTCATTTATTTATTTGCTTGATTTTTTGAGTAGCCATTTTACCTCCTTTCCCATTATCAATAGTCTACCAGAAACCTAAAGCCCTGATCTTATTCACATTTTCTGTAGTCTGATACCCCACCCAAGACAGTCTTATCACTCCATTTCCTCTCCTAATACAAAACATGGATGTCCTTTTTTGCATTCCCTCTGTCTCTTGTCAGCTATTACTAGAAACCAATTTGAAGAAAGGTAATACTAACTGACATTACATTTTCCTTAAAAATGCATTTAGGAGGTATTTTTTCATGTCTTCTTTCAAAGTAATAACACAGAAATTTCAGGCCTATCAACAGAGTTAGTGTTGACTTTTATAGACTGTCTTCAGCATATCATAGTGGTTATTTACAAAATTGTACATAGAAGGTCCCAGAGGAAACTGTTGGACCAAATGTTCACTCAAGAGAACATGCAGCCAATTCACCTAAAATAATACTGTCCATTTTATTTCATTACAGACTATTTTCTGATTTAAAACAGTGAGAAACTACAAAGCATGCCAAGTTTCTTTAATAATATATCTGTTGTTATTCAAATTCCTAAATGAAATATATTAAAATTCAGTTATGAATGACATTTAAATAAAGTCCTCTGTTTTGCTAAACTGCCCTCTAAAATTATGGATTATTTAAAGAACATTCAGGAAAACATGGGAATAAAATTGCCTACCCACCAAGAAATAATATACTATGCCTACATTTAAAAAGAGGAAGTACTAATGGTATCCAGCTGACCTATTACATGAGCCCACACTGTTGGCGAGTAAGACATGACATTCCCAAAGCAAGGGAGAAGGAGTAATTGAAGCCCTTCTAAGAAATATCAGTACAAAAATATGACATTTTTTTTAATGGTTACCTCACAGGCTTTTGAAAGAATGACTATAAGAGAGCAAGCAATATTCACAAAGAGGGGGAATTTGGTTTAGTGGAATGAGTACATACTTGGGAGTCAGACAGACCTGGGTGAGAATGCCTGCCCCCCCCCCCCATCACTGACTATCGATAGTTGTATGAAGTTGGGAAATAATGCCTTGCCAAGCCTTCATTCTCTAATCATAACATAGAAATAGAAAAGAATTCCACAGAATTCTTATGACAGTAAACCATAAGATTAGCACAGTGCCTGGCGCACACAGAGCCCTACAGAATCTTCCTCCCATGTTTCCCTCCCACTGCTTACAATGTATTATATGTTCTTGCTTTAACTGGATTTGATCTAACAAATTGTAGAACTGTAGAATGTTTGGGGAACTCCTCAGGTTTAATGCCTAGTACAAAAGATTTAGATTCTCCAAGCACAGGGTCCTTGTCATACAACTCACCCCACTGCATGTTCACATGTCACCTGGCCTTCTTCACCTTGCCTGCGGGGAATGGGAGCTCAGGAAACCAACATAAGTGCAAATATTCTAGCTACCGGCTATCTTTTTGAGAATAATAAAGTTTTTTTTTCCCCTCTGACCTGGAAGTCTTGGGTCTTCTGTTAGAATTCATGAAACTATGGCTGGCTAACTTATTTGCATAAAAATAGGGTAAAATCTCAAATACCTCAAAGAGCTTGATGACTACCATTAAAATTTTGAGGTGGGGATAATGTGACCATACGATGAATAAAAAGAATGCCCCTCCCCCCCATAATAATATATTCAAATCAGGGTTTTTAAAAAGTCACCCACTAACACATGGAAATCCTGATTTCAAGGACAGAGAATGATTGAGCAGTTATGCATGAGTCACGTCTGTTGGGTCACTCTAATTGGCAGCTGGAACGCTCAGCATCAAGAGCCAGGTCATATGCCGATGGCAATAAATTATTTCCTAAATTTTTAAAATGTAGAGAGTTCAAATAAGTCATTCTGAAGTGTGCTTTGGCTCTCCATGTCTTCAACCCTCCTATTCAGTCAACAAACAGGGAGGCAGTCTATAAAAAGAAGAGTGAATCTGAAAATCCCTATCAATGTTTTTTATAATCCAAAATTCCTTTTTTTTTCATTCTATACACCAACATATTCAAAAATTAACATTTATATCTGTTATCAGCTTGAAAACTCCCCTTGAGACCTCTTAGCCCTTGCCATCACACTCATCAGTTAAAAAGAAAATAGACCTGGAAGAGGAGGAACAAGGATGAAAAGATGAAAAATGGAAATGGGGCTGACTTTGGCCAAGGATTTCTGAAGGTTTGTTTTGTTTTAAGTACTGATGTGACCTTACCTGTACCTGTGTCAATCTCCAGTTTGGTCAAGAGCTTCTCCCCCTCACCAGACTCAGCATCATAGGGGTAGTGGCAGCCAGCTTCCACAGGTCCACCTAATATCTGTCCAACTGATTGTAGATTATATAAAATATTAAGAGGTATAAAAACAGGTCATGGGAACATTGCTATTTCACATCATTTCAGCATATGGGATTGATTTTAAAGCATTCACATGAATATGTAACCTTGTTTTAAAAATCTATTAATTAAATAGTTCCAATCTATGGTTTTAAAAAGAAAAGATAATAGATTATGAAGTAGAGATATCCATGCAAAGAAATGCTTGCATTAAAAAAATGACAACAGCCAGAAGCAGTGACAGATATGCAAGTGCACATGCAATAGAATGATTGGTAAAGGAGTTTGGTTGCCTTTTACTTTCCAGAAAGTTGTGTTATGGCTTTTAGAACACAAATCACCACTGCTATTTTAAATTGTTAAAACTACCAGAGCTGACTATACTATTTTATTCATTAATAGATTTTAGTGATTTGACCTCAATACTCATTCTATGTGGACAGAGGAAAAAAGCTATTATAAGATTCCTATAAATTTGACATCAAAAGCTGTTATAGAAATTCCTGTTGTCTGCAGGTGGTAACTAGCACAAAAATCTCAAGAACACAAAAACCAAAGTTCAAGTCCCATACTCCATACTAATCGTGTCATCATGGGAAAGTTTTTAGCCTAAATCAAAACCTCAGTTTACCCATCTGTCAAATAGAGGTATATCTACTCAATGATTATTGGGAGAATTAAATACATGGGTTGGCAAAAATTGGTTTAAAGTTTTGAGTACATGAAACACAGTTTATTCTTGTATTGTTATTTATTGATTATTATATTATTTTCTACACAAATAACTGTAAATCTACTCCCCCATCCCGCCATTAAGAAAAATATATATGGAGCATACTTATCTTTCACTATTAGCAAGTGCTTAAGCACTTAGTAAATATTAGTTATGATCATGATCATGATGAGCATGGGTATTATATGTAGTATCACCCAATGTGGTATGATTCTAGACAACACTGTAATATCAATTAAGTCTTTAGTTTCTGACATGTCCCTGTCTCCATTCCTTGCCTATCATCTGATGAGCTGTGTCCCTAATTCCCTGACATCTAGCATTATACTACTTTATGGTTAACAAAGCTCACTCAAGTAACACTCCATCTAGACCTGCCCTCCTAGATCAGACATGATCTCTCCAAAATATCCTTCCTTCCTTCTTTCCTTCCTTCCTACCTTCTTTTCATTCTTCCTCCCTCTCATACTTCCTCCTTTCTTTCCTCTTAGATATTCTGATTCAATTGAGGGACTTTGAAAAAATTATAACTAGAATGGGGTCTCTTGCTTGGTTTAAGATTAATTCTAAGTTAGCTACTTACTGATTTCTCTTGTTTAGAAACAGAGTGTAATGTCTGTCTTATTAGCTTTGGGGAAGGAGGCAATAGAATGACTACATTAATCTTAAAGGAACAAGAATGGAAAAAAGAAGAGGCGCATCATATAGTTCAAATGTATTCCCTTTAAAAGTTTTTTTGAACATCTATTTTCCTCATTCCTATAATATGCCAAATAAAAATGTTTTTAATAGTTTAGAGATGACATCAACTTATGAAAATTAGGTTATATTAATAGTTGGGTTTGTTATCAAGTCAACCTTTATGTTAGGAACTTTAGAAACATGTAAGTTAAATATCATCTTCCTCATTCTAATAATTTTAACACTGCATAACTAGAGAGTTTAAACAAGCAGTGTTTTAGGTTTTTGCATATAAATCTGCTTGGCTGACTGAGCATTAGAAATCCCAAGGATGGTAGAAGAGGGCAAAGGGAGGAAGTCTGATTTTGTAGCAATTACTCGGAGCTTTGTTTCATTAGAGCCAACAAGACATCTAAGGTTTATTTCCAAGTAGTCCATAGGCTGTAAAGAAATATGGTTTATTATACAAATATCAAATCATTATGTTGTATATCTAAAATTGTATTATACCTCAA